ACCCCAATTTCCCGAATTAACCACCAATAGAAAATAGACGAGGAAATGCTCAGATTAGAAACGTCAGTCAATTCCATGTCACATTGGAAATTAACATTCATGTACTCATGTATCTTGCTTGGCTTGCAAGTGAAAGGGCTGTTGTTGAGTTAGTGTCCAGGAGAGAGCAGAGCACATCTCAGCTAGTAGAAGCTAACTATTAGCATTAGCAGTTATGCCACATGGCAGAAATTCATCAGGCTTGTGTTATTTGTGGTGCTAATACATCAGCTTTCCAGAGCAATTGAGTCAGGTAGTTACATTGCTGTTAGACAATCAGAGGCGTCGTCATCGTCTTCCTCCGCTTATCCGGGTCCGGGTCGCGGGGGCAGCATCCCAACTAGGGAGCTCCAGACCGTCCTCTCCCCGGCCTTCTCCACCAGCTCCTGCGGCAAGACCCCAAGGCGTTCCCGGACCAGCTTGGAGATGTAACCTCTCCAGCGTGTCCTGGGTCGACCCGGGGCCTCCTGCCGGCAGGACATGCCCGAAACACCTCCCCGGGGAGGCGTCCAGGAGGCATCCAGACCAGATGCCCAAACCACCTCAACTGGCTCCTTTCAATCCGGAGGAGCAGCGGTTCTACTCCGAGTCCCTCCCGAATGTCCGAGCTCCTCATCCTATCTCTAAGGCTGAGCCTGGCCACCCTACAGAAGAAACTCATTTCGGCCGCTTGTGTCCACGATCTCGTTCTTTCGGGCATAACCCAAAGCTCATGACCAAAGGTGAGGATTGGGACGTAGATCGACCGGTAAATCGAGAGCCTGGCTTTCTGGCTCACCTCCCTCTTCACCACGACAGATCAGCTCAGCGTCCGCATCACTGCAGACGCTGAACCAATCCGCCTGTCGATCTCCCGATCCCTCCTACCCTCACTCGTGAACAAGACCCCGAGATACTTAAACTCCTCCACTTGAGGTAGGACCTCTCCCCCGACCCGGAGTTGGCAAGCCACCCTTTTCCGGTCGAGAACCATGGTCTCAGATTTGGAGGTGCTGATCCTCATCCCAGCCGCTTCACACTCGGCTACGAACCTACCCAGCAAGAGCTGAAGTTCAGAGCTGGATGAAGCTAGGAGTACCACATCATCCGCAAAAAGCAGAGACGAGATTCTCCTGCCACCAAACTCGACACACTCCACACCACGGCTGCGCCTAGAAATTCTGTCCATAAAGGTAATGAACAGAACCGGTGACAAAGAGCAGCACTGGCGGACTCCAACCCTCACTGGAAACAGGTCCGACTTACTACCGGCTATGCGGACCAAACTCATGCTCCTCTGGTAAAGGGACTGAATGGCCCTTAACAGAAAGTCACCCACCCCATACTCCCGGAGCGTCCCCCACAGGGTGCCCCTGGGGACACGGTCATAAGCCTTCTCCAAATCCACAAAACACGTGGATTGGTTGGGCAAACTCCCTTGCCCCCTCCATCACCCTTGCAAGGGTATAGAGCTGGTCCAAAGTTCCATGGCCAGGACAAAAACCACATTGCTCCTCCTCAATCTGAGTCAACTATCGATCAGACCCTCCTCTCCAGTACCTTGGTGTAGACCTTCCCTGGCAGGCTGAGGAGTGTGATCCCCTATAGTTAGAACACACCCTCAGGTCACCCTTCTTAAAGATGGGGACCACCACCCCGGTCTGCCACTCCACAGGAACTGCCCCCGATGACCACGCAATGTTGCAGAGACATGTCAACCATGACAGCCCTACAACATCCATAGCCTTGAGATACCCAGAACGAACCTCATCCGCCCCCGGGGCTCCGCCGCTGTGTAGTTGTTTGACTACCTCAGCAACTTCTGCCCCCGAGATTGGACAGTCTGTCCCCATGTCTCCCGGCTCTGGTTCCTCCTCGGAATGCGCATAGGTGGGATTGAGGAGCTCCTGAAAGTATTCCTTCCACCGTCCCGACTATAGCCCCAGTTGACATTAGCAGCTCCCCATCCCCACTGTAAACTGTGTGAGCGAGTTGCTGCCTTCCTCTCCAGAGGCGCCGGACAGTTTGCCAGAACCTCTTGGGAGCCGATCGATAGTCTTTCTCCATGGCCTCACCAAACTCCTCCCATGCCCGAGATTTTCCCTCAGCAACTGCCACTGCTGCACCCCGCTTGGCTACCTCCGGAGACCCACAGACCAGCCACGCCCTGTAGGCCTCCTTCTTCAGCCTGACGGCTCCCCGAACCTCTGGTGTCCACCAGTGGGTATGGGGGTTGCCACCACGACTGGCACTGGCCACCTTGCGACCACAGCTAGCAACAGCCCGCTCAACAATTGCAGAGTGGAACAAGGCCCACTCGGAGTCAATGTCCCCCCGCTGCTCTCGGGACGCGGTCAAAGCTCTGCCGGAGGTGGGAGTTGAAGACCGTCTTAACAGGTTCTTCTGCCAGGCGTTCCCAGCAGACCCTCCCTATGCATTTGGGTCTGCCAGGTCTACGTGGCATCTTCCCCTGCCATCTGATCCAACTCACCACCAGGTGGTGATCAGTTGACAGCTCCGCTCCTCTCTTCACTCGGGTGTCCAAAACATATGGCTGCAGGTCAGATGATACAACTACAAAATCTATCATCGACCTGTGACCTAGGCTGCCCTGGTACCAAGTGTACCGATGGGCGTCCTTATGTTCGAACATGGTGTCCGTTATGGCCAAACTGCGGCTTGCACAGAAGTCCAATAATGAAACACCACTTGAGTTCAGATCAGGCGGGCCGTTCCTCCCAATCACACCCCTCCAGGTCACGCCGTCATTGCCCACGTGAGCATTGAAGTCCCCCAGCAGGACAATGGAGTCCCCTGATGGAGCACTATCTAGCACTCGTCCCAGGGACTCCAAAAATGGTGGGTACTCTGAACTGATATTTGGCCCATAAGCACAAACAACAGTCAGGACTCGTTCCCCGACCCAAAGGCGCAGGGAAGCTACCCTCTCGTCCCCCTGGGTAAACCCCAACACACAGGCAGAGAGTCTTGGGGCTAACAAAAAGCCAACCCTAGCCCTCCGCCTCTCACCCGGAGCAACTCCAGCAAAGGAGAGTGTCCAACCCCTCTCAAGGACTTGGGTTCCAGAGCCAATGCTATGTGTCGAGGTGAGTTCGACTTTATCTAGCCGGTACCGCTCAACCTCTGCCACAAGCTCCTGCTCCTTCCCTGCCAGAGAGGTGACGTTCCATGTCCCAAAAACCAGTTTTCTTGTTCGGGGATCGGACCGCCAAGGCTCCCGCCTTGGTCTGCCCTCCGATCCACATTGCACCGGATCCTTCATGTTCCTCCTGCGGGTGGTGGGTCCACAATCAGAGGCAAGATGTCCAAATATCCGGAAATAAGACTCCAAAACTTGCTGTGTTCTGCTCCCCTCTGCTCTGTTTCCCTTCTAGTTCCTGAAACAGGAGCTTGAGCACTTTTGCACCACAGAGATTGACCAACAAGGCATTCATTTATTCTACATACCACAGCAAATGCATAAAAAAGAGAGAACTTGGCCCTTAAATTTGCATGTTCCAAGCACATCAACATCAACAATATTTACAGTGTGGTGCTAAAATTTGGGCATCCTTGTTAATCTTCATGATTTGTCTGTATAAATGATTGTTATGATAAAAGATGTCAGTTAAATTAATCATATAGGAGACACACACAGTGATGTTTGAGAAGTGAAACAAAGTTTATAGGATTTGCAGTAAGTGCAACAATTGTCTAAACAAAACTAGGCAGGTGCATAAATTTGGGCACTGTTGTCATTTTATTGATTCCAAAACCTTTAGAATAATTGGAACACAAAATAAGCCCAGTGACCTTTGACCTCCATACACAGGGGAATCCAGTTATGAGAAAGAGTATTTAATACCATCAGTGTGTGAATGTGTGTTTGAATGGATGAATAATTCACTCTAGTGTAAAGTGCTTTGGAGTGCTCTGACTCTAAAAGGTGCTATACATGTGCGGGTTATTTATCATTCATCAGGACTCCTGGGCCATTATGAGCCCCAGCAAAGTTTTAAAGCAGAGGCTTCAAGAATGGTTTCTGATTGTAAACTAACAAAAAAGGTTGTTCTATGACCCCTTTTATTCCATCCTACTAAAACACTAGAAAATTATCCCAGTTGAGTTTTATTGAATGATTTCCAAAACTTTAATGGATGAAAACTGCTTTGATATGTTAGAAAGCATCATAAGAAGCTAAAGTGACCCCAGGTGCTCTGCCTGATGGCTACCGTCTATGTGAAATGGTAATTCTGGCACCAACATCCAACAATAGCGGCTATAGCAGACGTTGCCCAACCATGGATTTCATAAACACAGCTCAGGGCACACAAATAGAAGTTTGTTTAGTCCCTTTTCAAAAGCCCAACTTGGTTATGAGTTCTGAGGTTGAATGAGACAAAAACAGTGACCCATTTGGACACAAGGGATTTGCTTTGTTGGCAACAGAAAAGAGAACGTCACATCATCTGAAACTGTTTGCGATCAGGCGTGCGTGAGGATGCAAATTAATATTTGATTAACAAAATGATTTCAATCAGAAAGTGAAAATGAACAGCAATCTGTTAACAAAAAGCATTTTGAAATAGCCCAGTCAGGAGGCCAACATCAAAGTATCAGAAACTGTCAGGGTGACCGATGATGTGGTGGAGACTTGCAATATTTTACACAAGCTTTTTGTTGTGTGTTTTAAGTCTTCTTTTATTTCTGCTGCTTTGTGTTTGTTTTGCCACCTGTCAGCAGCCTTTCCAGCCAATCCAGGGATTGATTACAGAAAAAATAATAGCTCGGACAATTTTTTGACAGAACGTTTAAATTATAATAAAAGATTTTGACATGTATTTAGTTACATGCTGTTCTGACAGGTTCAAACTCACATGAATGGTATTTTTTATGTTGTTTCTAGTTTGTTACGTCGTGTTCAAGTGAAATTTAAATTTGTAATACATTTGATACATGTGTCTGTTTTATTCTGTTTGTAGGGGCTACGCAGTGGCCAGCAGCAGCGATGACCGAATGAATGAACCTCCTACGTCGTTGGGTCTTGTACCACATCAGGTCAGGGACTCACATCTTTCTGTGGGATTTTCAGTGAAAAATGTCATATAATCGTAAAAATATATGTTTCACACATCTAATTAGAAAAAAATACTGGAAATCTCAATACAATCCATTCAAACAAACTTGTCAGTATAGCGACATTATAAAATCTGTTGTTTTTCTGCCATCCACAAGGCTTTTTGTTAAGTTCATCTCAATGGTCACTTGGTGTTTTAAATGGAAACATCAAACATGATTCAATCTTGTTAATGAGGAGATTGCTCATGGTTCAAAGACACCATCAATAAGGGATCTCAGTCTAGCCAAGGGTTTGAGTCTCATTAACTGGGTGTGAAGGAGATGAAGGATTTGTGACCTTTATCTGATGCTTTTACATGAAGTTGTGCTTTTTTATAAGATCTTGGAGTCTTTTCAATATGAAAGAAAAGTTAGATCAAAGGGAAAACTCAGTGGTTGGCTTCTACACTTTATAAACATTATTAATGCAGAATTAGAGTGTTAAAACTAAACACCCTCAATATTTATCATCGTCAACTTGTGCTCAACCATCTTGGCACCTTGACTGACTCATTCTGCTGTAGACTTCCCTCTCTGATAAGATCATTGTCCTGTGATCCAAATTGGACCTTTTCTCACTGTTTAAATTTTTGTTTAACTTTTCACTGCTGGTGACTGCAAGATCCACAGGTTCTGCAAAACAAGCACAAACCATCACCTCTCCACCACCATGCTTCATAGTTGGAGGATTTAGCAGATGTGATGCTTAGCTGGTTTTCTCAATCCACTGTCATGAACTTTAAAGAGAACATATTCTGATTTTTTCTTAAGTTGTAACTTTTCAAGGGTCGATAGAAAACATGTTCATTCAGTTCTTTGCACCAAATTCCTCTCATGTGAAGCGATTTCAGCAGTTTTATCCTTGATATTTTCAGTACCTTCCAGAATTAGCTGTTTCAGGGCTCTTTAAGTTTAAGCAAACAAGCTGGAGCTGGCTACGCCCACCCTTTTCCTCTCAGGCTGCTATGAGCGGAGAAGTTTGGATTCCTGGGAGGGGCTCAGAGTAAAGCCATCGCACCTCCAGCAGCAGCTCTCTTTTGCACATGAAAGGTGGTTCTATGCTAATTTCCTTGTTCAGATGTCACAAGTAGCTTGTTGAAGACACAATTCAATTCAATTCAAAAATACTTTATTAATCCCAGAGGGAAATTGATTATTCATCATTCCTTAAGCCAAAGACCAACATGTTTGGAGTGTTCATAGAGCCAGTTGAGACCCACAAGGCAGCACAAAAGGAAACATGAGTTTTCCATATGTCCCCTTTAATAATGATGATGTTTTGTCTCAGCCATTCTCAGTTTTTGACTAAAATGATTTTATTTGCTAAAATCCTGTAAGATTCATTGCTCGTTATTCAGAATAAAATTGAATAGAATGCAATAGAATACAATAGAAACACCTTTTATTGTTTCGCAGTGGGCAATTATGGTAGAACAGCTGCATTTAAAGTTAAAGTGGTCAAAAGTGTGGTTTAAACCAACAGTTTCCACATTATCTGTGAGATGAGCTTCAGGAAAGGATGCAACAGTATCTGCAAGGGCAGAAAGAACTTGCGTGTTTTGAAATCCAATTTTTTCCCCCATACTTTATTTTTGTCATTTATAATTCACATTCCCCACAGCAACCTTGGCCTTATGCATCTAATAGAATTAGCATTACAGTCTTACTTGCTTTAATTGAGCTAAAATAACCCTTTAAATAATAAGAAAGACCAACCAGTGTCTCTAAGTTTATAATAGTGGAGATCTTTGTGGCAAAAGCACTCAACCTTGGATTTATAACTTGTATTTTTCTATCAACGTTGGTTTCAAGTATTTTTTTTTCTTCCGCGTCTAGGCACATTGTGGCAGGATAATGTAACATAATATGTGGTTATGAATGTTGAATTGGTTGCTGAAGTGAAAGAATCATGCAAACAAGATTGAAAATTATAGGAAAGAGATTGAGTGTGGTTGTGTATGTCAGAAAATGCACCCCTGTGTAGGTTCTGCTGTTTGCCCTGGCTTGTGTTGATCTGTTTGGATGAGTTCATTTCTCAGAACTCTGACATGGATGAACTCGGATTCAGAAACGTAGTGACTCCTAAAGGATTATTTTATTTATTGTTCAAATTTAGTCCAAACATAAAAATGAAAACAAAAGAAGATGGAAATTCTCTGTTTGCTCAAGTTACATATTCCTTACATGTAGTTTCTACATTAAGTTTGTAAGATGAACATGATCAACTTGTGTTATGCTAACTTAAAAGGGTACAATGTAGTTTATACTTGATTCCTTCTCATTGGAGTAACTTAAAAGATTGTGTTCAGCTCACTGGTTACTGCTTGGATGGAACAGATTTCCCAGCATGCCACGTTCTTTCTGAATGTTGAAAATTAAAATAAATCCATATATTACAGCTTAAGTTCTATTTACATTTAAAGTATTATAAAGGAATTGAAATATTCATGTACTAAAAATGTTCTTAAGCTGACAGTGAGTAAAAACAAAAACCATGACTAAAAAGGAAAGTGGTACAGAGGCGCTCATAAAGCACTCAGCAGAAATCACAGCGAGCAGGTCCACCTTGGTCTACAGACACCCCAGTCCAGATCATCAAACTAAACCTGCATACAGTGAATATAAGGCAATTATTATGACAAGTTACTTTAGTTCATAAAAAATATGTTAATTCAACATGATTTGTTTAAGCAGGATAGTTTGACCCTGTCAAGTTAAACAGGATCCAAATGTAGTAAGTAAGTTGAATTAACCTTGATGAATTACTTTGACAGCACATGTACTTTAAGTTAGGATAACAGAAATGTATGATGCTGAACTAAAGCAGCTTAATCAGGTGGCTATTCATTCAAAGAGTTGGAACAAAAAAATCATTATCATATATTTTGGATTGGGTTAATGAACTGAACAAACGGAAGATTAGATGATTTGCAGCAGTCTAAAGTGTGCTCTCAGCTAACTGATTGCTGTATCTCACCACCTTCATTTGCATCTTCATCATCATCATCGTCATCATCATCAGTATTCAACATCCTCAGAATATGAATCCCTGCCATTTGCTTTGACACCTTTGCTGCTCGGGATTTTTCCCTGCCAGATAATCCATAGAAGTGTGGCATGCAAATGTGTTTTCTGTGTGTGTTTGTGTGCAGACAGAGGGTGTGATAAATACTGCCAAAGAGGGGGAGATGCCAAGAAAATAATATGCCTGGGGGAGGGACATTGTGATCCTTGAGTGTTTGTATAAATCATGGCTGAATGCATTTTTTTGCTACCAGTCTTCACCCAAACATCAAGCTGCAGGTTTTCCAGCTGCTTGCTCTTTTTCTCCCCTGTGGTACCACAGTGTCTCCTTGTGGTGGTTTTAAAAACGAAACATGTTTATTTCTCTTCACTGGTACATGCCCTACAAAAATAAAGCCCCAAATCAAACTCAAGTATTAAGACTGTATCAAGCAGTAAATAGTTTTTTTTATTTTTAATACAATGCTTGGACATTTGTGGAAAAATGCTTTTTCATCATAAAAAGTTCAATTATGGATATTTTCAAGAAATATTCACACACTTTTGAGGCCTAGAAGAGCTCAAAGCATTTTGAAAAATAAGACTTTGTCCGCTGTGAATCTGGGCTTATCTGAACTTGTGGAAAGACCATTTAAATCGTTCAAAGCAGTAAGTGAGGGAGAGAAAAGCATATTTATCTATTGTTTCAAAGCAGTTCCAATCTGAAGCTAATGGGGACATTTTTGCCTACAATCGCTCTTCTTTTAATGGGCACACTCACAATAAACAGTAAATCACATGAGGAATAGCTGAGTGCCAAGATGGGGAAAATCAAGGAGAAAATTCAGAACAGCAACTGAATGTTGTGTTCTGAACTTGGCTTATATTTTACAAAATTATACTTTTAAGTGGTAAGTAACTCATATTTTAATATATTTGCAGTGGTTTCTAGTAGGAACGAATGTCTTTTAAGTCTTCCATGGGAGGTGTGTGTGTGTGTGTGTGTGTGTCACAGGCATGTTTATTTCAGGAATTAGAAGTGAGCCAGATCACAGTTAAGCTTCAGACCATATACATGAATACACAGATGTGCTATTGGATGCTGGAGAGCATAACAGTGTAGCCTCCATATTGGGTGGGTTCCACACTCTCCAAACCCAACTGGAGGGGCTGCTGGGTGCAACTATGACTGTATTTTGTGCAGCCTACGGCTACAACTGGTGTACTACTGACAACAGATGATGTGGGATTACTATTGACTTTTCTAGACTACCTGATTGGATTTTATGATGAATTTTTTAGTTTACTATTTTATTTAATTATATTTATTTAGTAACTATCATACCATACTATATGTCTGTTTTTTTTAATGAATTATAAAATGTGTTTTTAGTTGGGTAAGCACCTTCCTCAGTAAAAATAAATGCACTGGAGTCCCATCTAAGATGGACCTGCTGCTACACCAGCTCCAATTGGCCAGTCCACGTCTGGTCTACGTATATGATATCTGTGCTTCAGACGACAGGATTTGACGTCTTATTTCCTGATATTTGGACATCTCACGTCTGATTGGATGAGAGCAACATGACTCCACTGACTGTTTGATCTGCAACGTTGATGTTTTATCTCCACAAATAACACAAAAAAGAGTTCTGCTGTGTGGTGGAGTTGCTAATGCTAATGGTTAGCTTCCACTAGCCGAGACATTCTCTGCTGTTTTCTGTACACTAAACCAACAACAGCCTTCCCCGTTACAAGTCAAGATGGGTGAGTCCATGAATGTTAGGTAACAGTGACATAGATCTGTCAGGCTTTTCTAATCCTAGAGTTTAACCGTCTATTCTATCAGAAGCTAATGCAGATGATAGGTGTAGGAGACTATTTTCATGTTCAGCCTGCATGAAAAACTCAGTGACCAATTCTAGTCAGAAATAATTATTAATAAATGTTTTTTTTTAATGAAGCATCTCTTTAACTGGAATGCAAGAATATTAGCAGGTTTGTCTGGTTGCCACAATCTGCTGCAGATAATTAGTGGATTTACTGTATTAAAATGAGTGCAAATGAAATGCATGCTTCAGAATATATATATTTTAAAACATTTCTGAACATGTTTTTTGAGTGTTGTGTGTGAATTTTGCTAGATTTTTTTAATGAAAACCAGAAAAACCTCCCATTTCCATAGTTTAGTTCTTTTCTAAACACAGCATAGTAAATTTGTTTTTGCCTTTTTTGCTGACAAGTTTCAGTGATGCTGAGCCTTCCTCAGAGCAATGCTGATGTTGGTGGCGTTACTTCCTTCTCTGTTTATCTGCGAATAAACATCAGCAGTGCTCTATGGAAGGCTACAGTGTTAGCCGAAACTTGTCAGCAAAAAAGGTAAAAACAAGTGTTCTACTATGCTGTGTTTAGAAAATAACTAAAACAATGGAAATTGATGGATTACACAGAACAAACATACAAAATGTGCACAAAAACCTCTGTAAGCATGTTTGCAGGCAGTTTATTTTCCTTTTGTAAAACCAGATTCACTTTATTGTAAGTCAAAGTCTGATTCTGACAATATTTCTTTATAAAGTTATTGTTTTCCCTTTGGCAGCACCAATAGCTGATACAGACACACGAGGGACTGAACTGGTAGAATTATTATTAGTTAGTCATCAGATTTTCTATTTTCCAGCTCTTCCTAGAAGACTCCAGGGATCTGTCTGTTCTTTTTATTTGCAGTTGGTCAGACGATGTCAGTTATGTTCTCCGTGCCCATAAACACATCGTACATAACAAGAGCTGATGTGACAGACCAATAAAAATATACTGGAAATATGTGAAGGTAATTTTCATCTGTGGAAAGGCGTCGTACCTGAAAACAAAAGAAAAATGCTGCTTTGTAAAAATATCTAAAAGTAGACGATGGCGTTTATTATTTGGTGTATTTCTTTTATTAGGTTGACTTTGTATAAAAACATCCATTTGGTCACCATTAGCTGAATAACTACTGTGCAAATCTTCTTTAATTTGATTTCTGGGCTTCTTTATACATTAATATGTTTGATATAAAGGATTTGCAGACTCATTTAGAGGTACTGGTCCATGCCGGTTGCTTTCTCTTTCTTTTTGCTCACACTCACCCATTAGTCTGACTCACTCACCCTTTGATATGTCATTTTCTGAACATGTGCACTTCGCCAGGTCTCATCTCACATTAATGTTACATCTGTTATAACAGTTAAATTGAAAATCCTGCCATCTAGATTTTTCTCTCTTTGCACGTTCTTGATTCTCTGGTTATTAAAATTGAAATGTCCAGAGATGAAAAGACACAAAAAAGCAAAAAAATAAAATTAAATAAATAAAAAACAAGACACAAATTGATAAATGGAGTGTTCAGATTTTTATAAAAAGATCTGTTTTTCTTTAACACTTTGTACCAGTAAAACTAAAGACATGTATCTTAATGTTCATTAATGTTATAGAGATTACTTTTTTATGTGGTGTCTTAAAAACAAAAGAAAATGTGGCTTTTAATTTGAACCTTCTGGTCTCTTTCTCTGGGGTGCAAAAGTTTGGGCATCTTTGTTAATCTTTATGATTTTCCTGTATAAATAGTTAATTGTTACAATAAAAATTTTCTGTTAAATATATTATATAGGACACACATGCTCAGTGATATTTGATAATTGAAATGAAGTTCATAGGATTTACAGAAAATGTGCAATAATAGTTTAAACAAAAATAAACAGGTGCATAAATGTGGTCACTGTTGTCATTTTATTGATTCCAAAACCTTTAAAAACAAATTATTGGCACTCAAAATTGGTTTGGTAAGCTCTGTGACCTTTGACCTCCATACACTGGTGAATCCAGTTATGAGAAAGAGTATTTAAGGAGTCAATTGTAAGTTTCTCTCCTCTTTGAATATTCTCTGAAGAGCAGCAACATAGAGTCTCAAAAACACATGACCAGAAAGCAAAGATTGTTCTCATCATGGTTTAGGGAATGATGCAGAAAGCTGTCTCAGAGATTTCAGCTGTCTGTTTCCACAGGTGGGAACATATTGAGGACGTGGGCGCCCACAGGCACAGTTTAAGGCGAGGCTTGAAGTGACAGAACAAGAAAAATCTCAGATAAACAGAAGTGAAGAATGGTGAGAACAGTCAGAGTCAATCCACAGACCAGCACCAAAGACCTACAACATCACCTTGCTGCAGATGGAGTAACTGTGCATCGTTCAACTATTGGGTGCACTTTACACAAGGAGATGCTGCATGTGAGAGTGAGGCAGAGAAAGCCTTTTCTTCGCCCACAGCACAAACAGAGCTGCTTGAGGTAGGCTGAAGCACATTTGGACAAGCCAGCTTCATTTTGGAATAAGTTGCTGTGGACTGATGAAACTTAAATTGAGATATTTGGGCAGAACAAGGGATGTTATGCATGGAGGAAAAAGCGCACAGCATTCCAAGAAAAACACCTGCTACCACCTACAGTAAAACATGGTGGTGGTACCATCATGCCGTGGGCTGTGTGGCCAGTGCAGGGTCTGGGAATCTCGTTAAAGTTGAGGGACACATGGATTCCACTCAATATCAGCAGATTCTGGAGACCAATGTCCAGGAATCAGTGACAAAGCTGAAGCTGCACCAGGCTGGATTTGTCAACAAAACAATGACCCTAAACACTGCTCAACATCTACTAAGGCATTCATGCAGAGGAGCAAGTAGAATGTTGTGGAATGGCCATCTTAGTCCCCAGACCTGATTAGTTTTGAAACTGTGTGTGTTAAGGAGAGCTGTCCATGCTCAGAGGCCACCAAACCTAAATAAACTGGAGAGGTTTTTGTTGGAAGTGTTTATTTCTGCAGAAGGAGGATCTACTTAAATAGCTAAATTTATTTTTGGTATTGCCCTAATTTATGCACTTGCCTAATTTTGTTTAAACATTTATTGCACATTTTCTGTAAATCCTATGAACTGTGTGTGTGTGTGTGTGTGTGTGTGTGTGTGTGTGTGTGTGTGTGTGTGTGTGTGTGTGTGTGTGTGTGTGTGTGTGTGTGTGTGTGTGTGTGTGTGTGTGTGTGTGTGTGTGTGTGTGTGTGTGTGTGTGTGTGTGTGTGCGTGCGTGCATGCGCATGTGTGATCACTATTATTATTAGGTGTAACAAACACAGACTACAGCTTGTTGTGCACTCAGCGTAAAGGTGATTGGCTGTAGGGCTCTGAGGCATGCAGGTCGCATCTCAGTTGACCCCTCTCATCCTCGTCATGGTCTGTTTGAACCACTCCCTTCTGGCAGGAGGTTTGGGTTGATCTGGGCAAGAACCTCACTCCACAGCAGCTTCTTTCCCGCTGCTATAGGTCTGCTGAAGACCAGATAACTATTTTATCCATACGGACCTGAACTAGTGACCCTGTGTTTCTTTCCTAGCCTCTTATGTGATGTTTCTCTCTCATGTCCTACGTTTATTGTGCATCGTCTCTTTTATTTGATGTTTCTGTATGTCTGCACCGTTCCACCATAGCAAATTCCTGGTAACATGAGTCTCACTCACGTATTTTGGAGTAAAGCTGATTCTGATTAAAGCAATGTGAAGAATTACAGAAATGTGTCCTTTTGAACACTAGGGGGAGCTCTTGTCTTATAAATTCTGGCATGTTTTCATAATTTCTTCATGAGATTGCTGCCACCGGTTAATAAAAAAATGTACTGCCCTAAAATAACATTTACCATTTTAAATGTCTATTTATTAGGTAATAATAGAGTTTTAATTTATTTTGAAATAGCTGTTAACATTCTGTCAAGTATTTATAAGCAATTAAATAAACTAATTACGAACCAATAAAAAGTCCTTTATTAAGATCTTATTGTAAAGTGAATAAATGTGCCAGGAGAACAATTCCTATGGTTATTTATAAAATTCACTAAAACTGATTTTCTCTACAGCCAATGAGTTCATGTTGGTGTTGTGCATGTTCTTTCTTTTTCATACATTCAGATTTTAATATATTTTGCACTTTTTATGTTTTCCTTAAAGATCCGAGGCTTTCTCTCCAGGTTTGACAACGTTCTTCCTGCCAGCCTGGCGTTTGACAAATGCACCGCCTGCTCGCCTATCGTAAGTGACACAATATGTCCTATTGTAATTATATGCAGAAATCTGGTTTAGTTACATCTCAGTGTTTGATAATTAACCCCAGCTTGTTGCTGTTGTTTCTTTTAGAGTATAAAAATTCAGATTTTTGTTTCTATGAGGCAAAGATGTTTTGAAACACAAATTTCAGCCTCAGCATAAATTGAGGGGATTCCCAACTTTCCCAGTTCCACATTGTCAAGTCAGTGTAGCTGTGCTGAAGCCTTCCTTGAGAAATACCAAAGAGAGACGCAAGGGAAAGCTAGCTGAGCCATATGGTAACAATCAGGCCGCAGTTGCTCACTGATGTCAGAATCTGACGTACACTCCCACCGCTGGCGAGTATGAGCGTTTGTGGACGGCTTCTGGAAGAGTCTAAATCAGGGCGGGAGAAATTAACCCTGGTGCTTTTTACTACTCTGTCATTGGTTAGTGTGGTTTAGTGGTACTTCATGGTCAGAGTGCTGGAGGAGGGATGGAAAACAAAGGTTTGGAGGAAGTTTAAAAAGACACAAGCAAAAGAAAGTAGAAGCGACTCGGGGTGGGGGTGTGTGGGGGGGTTATAAGTAGAGGAAGTGGAGCTCTGGCCGGTTCGCCTCATTCTCTCCTGATCTCAATGCCGTCTTTGTGTCGATAAAGAGGTCATAAAGCCCCAGATCTATCACTTTCATGCAAAGACAGGGAGACACTAAGAGGCAGAGGGGGCAGGGAGTTGGCCAGCTTCTCTAAAACTTCTCTCCGCCTACGCTCTTAAAGGGGGGGAAAAAGCATGGCGTTCCAGCCCATCTGAAGGTGTCATGTTTCTGCCTGTGTGACTGATGAGATTATTTGGTCGGCACAGAGGTGTTCATATAGTCTGACAGGGCTCGGGTAAAGCCTCTGTAGGCAGGAAGAACGGACAACGGGGTTTGGGAGGGACTATTGTTTTCTGGGACGGGGATGAAGTGAATATGTTTTAATCCCACCCACACATCTCTGTTTTACATTTTACTTATCTGCCTTTCACTCTTTTCCTTTCAGCCGGCTCAGATTTCACCTCTCCCTCTCATCGTCTCACTTCCTGCTCTTCCTCCCCCATATCTCCGCTCACTTTTGTGTCCCTGTGTCCACATATTGGTGTGTGTGTGTGTGTGTGTGTGTGTGTGTGTGTGTGTGTGTGTGTGTGTGTGTGTGTGTGTGTGTGTGTGTGTGTGTGTGTGTGTGTCAGTCTTTGTCCTTACTTTTAGTGTGTGTGTGTGTGTGTGTGTGTGTGTGTGTGTGTGTGTGTGTGTGTGTGTGTGTGTGTGTGTGTGTCAGTCTCTGTCCTTAATTTTAATGTGTGTGTGTGTGTGTGTGTGTGTGTGTGTGTGTGTGTGTGTGTGTGTGTGTGTGTGTGTGTGTGTGTGTGTGTGTGTGTGTGTGTGTGTGTGTGAGCAAGTGGATGTCTGCCTGTGTGTATTTCTGCCGCAGTCAGCTGTGTGCTGCCAGGTCACTATGGAAACAAAACAATTCAGCCTCTGTCTGGGCTGGAGCAGTTCCTGTAGAGTTGGGGCTTTCAGTGTGTGTGTGTGTGTGTGTGTGTGCGTGTGCGTGTGCGTGTGTGTGTGTGGATGTGTGTGTGTGTGTGTTTCTAACTCTTATAAAGCTACAAGCCAATAAAGCTCCACTCCGCAGAGTAAATCACAGCTGACGTGGCACTGTCTAAGATCTTGCCAGACACCTCTCTCACTACAGCTTCTTGTTCACGTTACAGATTGTGCTTCAATTAGAAACTATTGTTCTACAAAGATTTCTGTCAGAAAACGAGCCCCGTTGCTTCTGAACTATTTACTGTTCCTGTTTTTTATAAGAGCTGTCATAGATAGTTCAGTATGTGTTTTTAAGTTTAGTTATTTAGCCAACAATTAGAAAAACATTAAAAAAAACTTCATGTAACTGATTACTTTTCAAGTTCAGTCTTGAACTAATTAGCTAAATATCTCATCAACCACTGGACAATTTATAATTAAACTCTCAGGCACTTGTGATTAGATTTACATTTATGACTGATTAATGTTCAGAGACAATGCCATTCGCCATGCCAACTCACCCTAGAAACAGAAAAATCGTTTCAGTCAGCAATTTCTTTATGGATATTGAGATAAAATCTGATGTTGTAGTTGAGCATCCTGCTCAACTACCTACTCTGCAACATCCTTTGCTCGAAACTGTAGCATCACATATTCACATCATCACCCAGTTTTATAGGTATTTAGAAAAATGTTATTGTTGCAGTAGCTGAAAGTCATTCACAACACATAAGTGAGATTTGACCAAGATGACCCAATGCCTAAACCTTAAAGGGGTATGTAAAATGTGGTCTGTTGCTATATTCCCCAGAGATTGATAAATGAGGAAAAGTATTTTGTAATTAGCCCATTCATTCTCCTGATCTGGCAGTATTCTGTTAGCTGTAGCTTAGCACAAACAATGTTAGTGAATGGTAACAGCTAGCATTACATGAATATTCAGGAAGATTACTCAATAATAATCCTAATTTTTCTTGGTGATCTCTATAGTCACCAAATGAAAATAATAAGTAACATGAACACATTACAGAAGGCGATTTACACTTGGGACTCCTTTAACAGCCTTGTACTTTTAGAAAATCTCATAATTCTGTGTTATATCATAAAATCTGGGACTGTTTTTAAGGTGGAAAATCCGCTTGTTTGAGTTTTTTACCATGTGATATTGTTATTTCCCAATGAAAACAGCTCCAAACCCGTTTTTGGCTGCATCCAGGCATTTTCCTGTATCATCTGCAAATTCATAGTTTTACTTTGAAAATTCTGAAAATGCCTGATTGAAAGCTACTTGCATCATCAGGCATTTCTCCCCTGCCTGAAGCTGGTGGTCTCAGTTCTAAAATCTGGATATTCTGTGTATAATCTGGCAATTTACCCCTGCATTGGGGACAAAACACCGCTGTCAAAACCATGCAGCCTGTCTACAAAGACACACGCAATGGCCAGCACAGGATATTAGGCAACTGTTTTGTAACAGACTCCAGTGATCCAGTGGTTAGAGGCCCTTAAACCACTGGACTACCAAGGCCCGTACAACGGTATGTGCTGCTGTAGGTGTGTTTTATCGGTGCGGGGGTGGACGTTTTTCCAGGTATAAATTCAGGCTGATAAAAAATAAATAATATTTAAGATTAATGACATCTCAATAGCACAAACAGTAATATTTTGTCATATATTGTGCATACCATTGCTCCTAAAGATTTAAAATAGCACGATCTGGCTCCTTTAAAATGTTGTTTACGTTTAATGATTTAAGATACTGTTTTAACGTTAAGCACCAAACTATGAAACCTGCTTCTGAAATATGTGCAAGCAGTGTTTACTTCAAAACAGGATTTCACAAAAACAAATCTGTGGTGCACTGATTAATTATTTTATCAGCTGGTAAAAAAAAAGTTAATCCTAGCAACAAAGTGTCATAAGCTCACCGAGTCTCACTTTGTCTTCCTGTGGGTTTTTCACATGCGGAAGTGCTTGGCTCAGGTGCGTATGTGTGCCAGTGTGTCTGCCAAATGGCTATCACAAGGTCACCACAGGTATTGGGTTGCTCTCTGTGTCAGCATCAGCTACTTTTTAACAAAGTGGCTTTTAGCCGTTAATGTGTCGCGTAGCCGAACTCGCAGAAAGAAAGGGGAGGTTGAAAAGATAATTTAGAGATGCGCGTGTGTGTGTGTGTGTGTGTGTGTGTGTGTGTGTGTGTGTGTGTGTGTGTGGCTCTGGGAGTAGACGCCAGGTCAATTCTGCAAACACACACACAGAGAAACACACTCACAAAGGCACTACTGCACACACATCTGAAGCGGTGGTAACGCTACACCTGCAGAGGAGGGTCTGTAGGCGTCCATGAAAGGCTCGGCCAATCTTAGGAAGAAAGCAGAGGATGCTGCATGCCTAGGTGTGCGTGTGTGTGTGTGTGTGTGTGTGTGTGTGTGTGTGTGTGTGTGTGTGTGTGTGTGTGTGTGTGTGTGTGTGTGGTTAAGAAATGGTTTGGTATTTGAAGTCCATGCTGTCGATAGATCAAAGTAAACACTCCAGTGTAACTGCGGAGGTGCTGAGTTGACGTACTGTGGGCCGACGGACCGGTAAACAAAGAAGAAATTCAGTTTAGGTTTCTTGTCTGTTTTTAAAGGTTTTTAATAAAATATATCATCACACATAACATCAGTACTTTTTATTAAGTTGCTATTTATTCACACTTTTAGGCATTGTCCACCTGGTGTTTAAAAGCCCTCTGGTTTATAATGAGGAATACTTTTAATACGAAGATAGATTTTCAGTGTTTGTTATTTTAACGCTGATTTCAGTCAGAAAAGGTGTAAAACATTAACTTTGCAGTTGATCAGAACTTGTTCTGTTGTCATTAAATAAATATTTTTGCCGTTTTTGTTCATTTTTTTTTAACAACAATTACTCTTTATGAGTTGGAGATGTTGTTTTTTAGGCATTGTCCCGTTCCAAGATGATTTAGCAGAAATATTAACACATGAACCTTGGAAGCAGCAGCAGTGCTTCTTTTAGATTCTTCTGGTGAAATCTGAACTTAGAAATTGCTACAGAATTCCATGCAGATTAAGTGTGTGATGCAGAGTTGATGACACTGATTTCTGGAGTTTGAAAGTTCTTTAGGACAGCAACAGTTTTGTTGTAATACATTTGTTAGTTTACTTAGAATAAATGCTCTTAATTAGCCACCATTTGAAGTTTGTTTTATGAAAGCCTGACAGAAATATTTGACTTTTTGTTTTGTTTGATTGTTGTTGTGTCTAGGTGTTGGACCACTATGAGAAGGAAGGTTTCATCTTTCTGTCCAAAGTTTTTAATTCCTCCCATTCCTTTCTGGAGGACCTGACAGGCCTTACATTGTTGCACCAAGAGACACAGGCTGCAGAGGTAAATCACACCCCCACTCACACTGACACTAACAAACCAAAGATGGGTTCACGTCTGGACAGCTATTCTTTAAAAATAGGTTTTTGTGTCATTTAAAAAAAAATCGCATCTATGTGTCAATGTTTGAAAATTAAATTAAAAGCACAGACAACACCATATATTAAATGTGTGGTTGACTGAAAAAAAACATTTTTAATGATTATTTCTGATAATAATCGGTCACTCTGAGTTTTTCATGCTCCTACACCTCCTACACCTATCTCCTGCATTAGCTTCTAATAGAAAACAGATGGTGAAACTCAAGGATCTGAAAATCCTGACCAATCTACGTCACGCTGTGAATTGTATACTTACCCATATTGACTCACAACAGGGAAGGCTGATGTTGTTTTAGCATTCAGAATCAGCAGAGAACGTTTCTTCCAACAGAAGCTAACCGCTAGCATTAGCAACTCAAACACACAACTGAAGCTCTTCCAGGCTTGTTATTTGTGGAGATAAAATTGCCTCGTCCCCAAACAAACAGACTTAAGCTGTTTTTACAAAATAAAGCCGTCAGTTTGTCTCAATGGCGTCAGGGAGCCATAGGTCATTTTTAGGTGGTCAGACTGTGGCGGTAGGGCTGTAGCGAAGCCTCGATGATGTCGACTGCTCGATTCTAAAAATTTGTCGACGTCAGATCCGGTAGTCGACGCACCACACCCACTTGTTGCATCCCCAGGAGTTTGTAAATAGAGGTGGAATCTGCCTGTTTTTCCTCTAGTTCGCCCTCTTCTCCGCCTTCACTAACATCTCCACCA